AAATATTCACTGATCAAGAATTGATTATTTGCTAGAAGATTTGCATTTAAACAAGCGTACCAGTTTGAGCATACGTTTCGCTTTCGGCTGCTGCGGTTGAGCAGTGCCATTGGCTACCATCTCCCTAAAAGTGTTATGCAGATCAACGATTGCTGCCGTCGTCGTATCGCTGAGTTCATAACCGTTTGACGCTGAAACATACAGAGTAATATTATTAGAAGCAAATTTGTTTTGTTACCCAGTGCAGTTAGTGCCAAACATATTGGGTAAACGACGAATATCTTTAATATGGGCATATTGCATGAAATGCGCTTTCGCTCGATATACCAAATACAGAAACTGGCAATTCCGTAGAATAAGTATCACTCCGGGTGCTTTTTTCCGATGATCAGTTCTTGATCGTTATTTGCATAGTAGGACATTCAAAGACTACATATCTATGTAAATAAGTAACTGGAGGCACATCTGGCATCGCCTGATGACTCTATGTTATTTTGAAGAGTTATTTTCGATTTAACTCTTAGTCTTCATTGTCTCCCTTGAATATGTAAATTGTATGAAACAGCAAAAATATTGAAATTACTAATTATTTGGCGCTCTATGACTAACAGTTGCCCTGCTTTCAAAGAGTACATTAAATGTTGGGGACCAGTTATGAAGAACGGTAGCAGAATTTTTGTTCACTTTATAAAATGTCTCTTTCTTTAGATTTTACCCACCTCAGTGGCACTTACCCATCTGTCAGACTCGATTATCTTTGAGGTATTTGCCCATCGTGCAGAAGCTCACAATACCCCTTCGGGGATGTACGCAGACGACGCCCTCCTTCGCATTTCGTCTTGACAAAATTTGTTGATGCTATGGATGTTTGCAGTCTGTGATAAGCATGTGAGGCTCAGTATATACATAAGTCGTTTCTAGGACAGAGAACGAACTCGAAGAAGCGTTGTAGCGAAAGCGGAACTCTCGCTGTGCCATGGATAGTTGCAAAGACGGCTGCTGATTTTTAATTACATAATTTGAGTTCTGGAATTTCGTTCGTTCGTGAGAAACGGAGGCATCTCCTCAAATCAATCAATAATATGCTTGAATGTGTTATTCCTTATTTGGTTAGTGGAAGACATTCTCTTGCGCGCCAACTGCGCTTCATTAAATTTTCCGCTTCCTGTAGTTAATTTCGCTCGTACCTTATTCAGGCTTTTCTAAGCAGCGATATGACCCTCTTTCACCTCAGGTTCAATCAGTGCAGACGTTTTTTTGTCATTTGGTTTTATTTCGTCCGCGTCCTTTGTATTTTTTCTTCACGCCGTTTCTGACCCTTATACGTCCCCTTAGATCAAAGTGGTTTCGTCTAGTGAGTCACTAGTAGGGATTAATTTTCTTTTTATTAGACCGTTATTGAAATGGTAGGATATGATGAGTGATCTAGGGTCGTTACATTCATCGCATTGTACAGCATGTAGATAAACTCCGTAGTTACATTAGCATTGAAAGAGAGTCCATTAACAGAGACGCGGTGGAAGGTGCATGAGTCGTACGTAATTCTTCTGTTTTTCTACTCTACACCCTGATATAAGAGTTTCATTAGCGTAGGTGATAATACATTGTTCATAAAGACACCGAAAAGCAAATGGTAGAAGACGGCACCTAGAAATACGTCGAGACTGTTGTTTAGACGATAGGACTTTATCCTTTTGATATTGATTAGTTGACCGGGGGACGAAATTAAATAATCAGCCTTATAATAACAGAGGAATCGATGGCTAGTGTGCGTCGCTTTCAAAGCATTGGATCGTGAGGGACAGCCTTAAAAGCGAAGAAAATGTAGAGGAATAATGACTTCGCTACTTATCTGCCTTAATCAAACTCTTGCACACTAAAATCTGCTTCAGGTGTGATTACATTTTCGGTGCTCACTCTTCTCTGGTAGACGAAGTGATGTAGGTAAGACACATGAGATGTAAAGTGTGATTCAGAAATAATAATGGTGTCGCTGAGATGCTTAAAAAGGTTAGCGTTAGTTTAAGTAGTTTTCCAAAAATCAATTGGTAAGGCCGAACATATTGTATTTTCATCCATCGCCGGTTCGACATTGCCAGAAGGCAAGGGTCAATGACGTCAGTGCATTTTAAGATTAAAAATATTTTAGCCAGCTGTGAAATTTACTGTCTCAGTGTAGTAGCACTGCTGGCTGGAGTAGCGACTTATTGCTGACAGTACCGCTGCGGAACTCCGTATTTTAAATACACAGATTGCAATTCCTCTATGGCGTTCAGTAAATGATTTATGAATGCCTGCGGAGAACTCATCAATCATATTAATTTTACTGTTTTTATACACCGCTGAATGGTTTGGTTATGGCAGTGCTGTCGTTTCATTTGTCTCGTTTACGAGGTCGAAATCGGAATCACATCACATCAGCATGGTATGGTTAGCTATTTGGTGGATAAAGGCGAATTATAACAATATGCGGTTTTTGAAATTCGGTTATAACCTGTTTCAAAACCTGGCACCATACTGAAACCCGAGGTTGCATAGATCAATTGAAATCTATCAAACGCCAGATCTCTTCCAGTTTAGAAATATTTTACGTAACTTCATAAAGAGGCAAGAAATCCGGTGCAGCATTATAATATAGAACATTTTCAGCCGACTAACAAGCACGGATTTTGTTCGATAGGCCAGGATTTCCATACGCTGCTGACTGCAGATTCCGGCCGATGCTCGGCCCAGAAAGGTTCATAACAGGACAAAGGCTGCACTAAAAAACTGGTACGACGAAATCGAAAATTATCACTACCCAATTTGCATGAAAGGCGTTTGACGGTCATTCAGTCAGTCATTTTTGATGATCTGTGCGCTACTGTTGGGAGGTAGAGGCAGATGGTGAGTCAGTGTCTTAAACGTTGCCGATTCTGTGCCAGCGTTTGAGGATCGGCAGAAGATAACCCGATTCTGGAACAGTCTGTCAAGACACTTGCCCCAAGCCATTCTTGGTCGTTTCCGGGTCTGTTTTCAATAGGCTATCGCCAAATGATTAGCATTCCCTGCGTTGGGCGTCGCTTAAACATAGTTATGGATAACTCAAAATTGACTGGGCTGTGATTTGGCCCAGTGTGGTTTCTTGAATGGCATAAACAAGGTGGATACCTCTACCGTGAATCGTAATTATTTCTCAGGGTAAAGAACTTTTGAAGCCTGAATCTGGCTTTATATTTGCCCTAGAGGGTCTGTCTACATCACTGTTAAGGATGCATAATTGTCAAACAATCACTGTTTTAAACAGTGTTCAAGAGCAGCTATATAAAATGGCTTGAGTTTGCATATGTTAATTTTCTAATTATTTACTGTTATTTCCCTTGTGCGACACAACGCTGACTTCGCGATACAGTTTTTTCTTTACTTACTACAGGAGCATTTTTTGTTACTTAAACCATGCATGTTTCAAGCTTCAGACCTTCAGGTATTTAAGCAATAATGAATTATGATTAAATGAGACCTCGGCGCTGCATGGATAGATACTAATCCGATAAAAAATGGGTGGCTTATTATCAAAAGTTAATCCCACTCTCTTCGTAGAAACATACGTGTCAAATACACCGAAGTCGTTTTGCATATACTATGAGACGGCTGAACGAAAAGTCGATGGCGATCCAAATGTTTTGCAATCTTTGCTGATTTCATCAAAATGTTTGACTCAATTTGAAGAAATACTTATGGAAAATTGGTGAACAATACAAAATCGCACTAAAGACCTCACATAATTGAAAGATGTATGGTCCTTCTTTAAGTGCAGTACGAATATATGGCAGCTTCAGCAAATTATTATGTATAAAGTTTGGAGTAAGCAAGGAGTGGAATCACCACTGCCGTTTGTAACATTTACTGACTGGGTACTTCAGCCAATATGAAAAAAAGTGACGCCACGGCAGTAATGGTGGATGGCATCCATGCAACGTCTCTTGCGATAGCGGATGATACCTTATTGCTTCTAGAAAACTTCGAAGCTATTACATCACGGTTCAAAACTCTGAAACAGAGGTGTTCCGATTTGGGTTTCTTGAATATATCTCGGATATTTGAACATGTGACAAACACGAAGGCACATCGATTACAGATATTTTCTCCAAATAAAGCAGTTAGCCTGATCTGGTTTCGATTTGCAGTAACTGCGAATTATACGGTAGCAACCGCGATATGATCCGCAGCATCCTGGTGTGTTTGAAACTCAGCAAAAATTGTTTAATTATTAAAAATATGGGTCATTTAATGCGGTGATAAATTCTACGTATGTTTCGACCCCTATCTCAGCGATTGTCCAGATGATGGTCTTTGGCTGGTGCAAATTTCTATAAATTTGTCTGTAACACCTCATTCTGTCGACCCATAGGGCAACCTTTTGGCACATGCTGCTACTTCGACAGTTGGCTACCGACCTGCGAAAAGAAGTTAATCCAATCAAGGCAGTGTTTGAATCCTCTTTCATGGCTGAACTTATCGCATTAATGGCTGATTGGATGAAGACGCTCGCACTTCATTTAATCAGTAGCAATGACTCTGCTCTTCAATGCTTCTTTTGTATAAGAAAAGCTTTGAGAAAAAACGAAGCAACATGAATAACAAAAAATTTAATGCAAACACAAGTGAATCTAATGTGCAAGCAAAAATGCGCTATAAACTACGGTATAATTTCAAAAAATATGACTGCGGTGACCTTGCAAATTTCAGCCGATTCATTCATGCTGTGCCTAAAAATCGTCATTAAGACATGTGATTCTGATCAAATTACTTTGGTACAGCGAAAAGATATACTGATGATTTTTCGACTTCAAACCGCACCGGTTAAATTATACTTGAAATGACCTAAATGCGAAATTAATCTGTCATAGCTATTACTACACTCCCAGAATGAGAAGTATACTCCTCTTATGTGCTACTTGCTCTGAAATATTCTATGAACTTATTTTGTCTAAAATACTGGATAGTCAGACGTACGTTTAGAACACTATGCAATTCTGAAAGAACGGTCTGAAGCTCAATAAAAGGGTGATCACAAAATTATTTGCTGTCACGTTGTCAAAGTTTATATCTGAAAACAAAAATAGAATCAGAAACCAAGCACTGCATTTCAGGAGTCAGGAAGGTAATGATGGTAAAGGAAGACTGAGTAAAGGCGAGAGTTGAAGGCAAAACAACGTAAATAGTGACCTGAACCTGACGTGTCTCATAAGATGTGCCCACCGCTAGGCTTTCAATGGAGCTTGATTTGATTTGAGCTAGAACAAGCGGTCAAGAAGACCTACGAGGCTATCGCAATATTTCTTAAAATTTATAGGCCAAACTCCGCCATGGCCGGTCCCAAGCCCGGATGAGAAAGGAGGAGGGTTGGAGACCGTGGCAAGTC